CGATAAATGGGAGACTTTTGCGTGCGGCAGAACTCAAGATCAACTCGATTTGACAATATTGGCTCATCAGTATTTGAGGAAAACTGCGCTCAAGCCGCGCTCGCTTAACTTTTAAGCTTAAAAACATTATTACCTTTTGTTAATAAAGAACAGGGCCGTAACATGAAATTTGATGCGATATTGATGTTATAATATTATATCTGTCGGCAAAGATGTTCAATAAATCCATAGACAAACAAACATGCGCATTAGATGGTTTCGTATGAAAAATAGGATATTTGACAAGTTTTAGAAAACGGTCTCACGTTATTTACTAATGTTTAGGTAGTCCATAAAAGGGATACTTTTGATTCAGTTGTGTAATTTAGTAAAAAAAACTAAATTAAATATTCAATTTTCAAAGTTGTCGAGAAAACGTTTCTCTGAGCATTATGGCGTCTCACTAGTGTGTGACGTCACACTACTATCATTGAAACGTCAAACAATATAATGTAATTTCACCTTGCCCGGAAGTTTACTAGCTTGTGACGTCATTTTAGACTTGGCTAATTCCAGGCGTTTCCGGTCACGTGACCATGGAGCAAAACAATATTACTATTTATTGATTTTACAGAAAAGTTATTAATTGTTTGTTCTTTCAGAATAGGAAATTCGCTGCTAATATTCATATTAAATACAGATGCCAACAATTTGTAAATTATTTTTCATACTGTCAAATAGCTTATTGGTACTGCGCAGGCTTCGTTGTCTGTAGTTTATGGTCAAGATGTTTTCTGGCATACATATATACCCTAACATCATGTCGACATCGCGTTAAAAGTTCATTAAATTATGTATCTGTGTTATAACTATGTTCTAAGTGCGAGTTTTCAAACTCGATTGCGTCTACGTAAATCGTCATTCTATCGTTATACAGTTGTCGTAGTACTCTGCTTTTTTACCAGATGGCGCTCTTATAATGCCTTTAACTAATTTACGTTTACGCAAACGCGATCGAGTAAGTAAAACCTCAAGGACCTCAATAGGCGCTTTTATCTTAATTTAAGATAACATTCCTTAATATTCATTAGCAGATACAGTTATTTTTCCCAATTACATCTCCTTGCATCTAAAAGAGACTGAAAATATTTTGACTACTGGAGATGACATCACATTGTAAAACATTTAAGTTTTCCTGGTTAATAATAACCAGGAAATGTAAATACAAATTTAAAGCTTCTGTATACTACTTTTTTCAAACTGCATAATTATTTACCAATCGAAAATTTTAATAATGAAAACGCAACGGAACTTCGTTTTGAACAGCATTAAAATGAATGTAAGCTGGTCTTATTTTTATTATAATAATTAGTTTTTTGCAGATTATGACTAACGCAAATGGCACATTTGTCTAAAATTATTTTTTTGTCTTACGTCACCTATTAATTCAAGAGATATTATTTTACATGATCGATTATGCATTGTGTCGTTATCAACATTTAATTTGAGTATCGATAAATATAAGCACAAGGCATGAACTATATAAAAAAATCGAGAATTTTTTACTCTTTACGGTCAATTTCCTATTAATAAAACTTCTACGATAGTACTCAAAGGTGTCAATTAATTGTTGAGTTTCTTAACTATGCTGCAACAGACTAAACAATACTTGAATATAATTATGTGAACAGGAATCAATCACAATTTTGGCAACGACCATTTTGCAAGAAAACGGAAGTTAATTAGCAGGAAGTAATGATTGACAAACCTTGCTTGTTTCGTATTTTTTTAATATTCAGATTGGCTCTGAATAATTTGTTATCCATCTCCAAAATAAACTTACCTTCATTTAAGGTTAGTTCCGATTTACGTGACTACATTCACCTAACTTTCTGCACGCATGTAAATAAAACTGTTGTGTGATTCTAGACCTTAAGTCTATAGCTTATAAGAAGTATTTTAAGAATAACCTTTAAGATCAGAATTATAATGATTGATATAATATGACCTATAATGTGCAGTTTTTGACACATCAATTAATATATTTTCTCAAGTATTTCGCTGGTTTGTATTTGCATTACTCAGATTATATCAATAATTATGAAGGCTAGTGTATTTGTGTACTTTTGCTTCACAAGTTTCATCGTGAATTATCCAACCGCCTTGCTTTCTTATAATGTTTTTAAATCATGACCAAATATATCTTTTTTTTTTGTGAGTGCCATTTCTTTTTTTTTAATAATGTAAAATAATGTAAACTTCTAGGTTACTATCCAATTACCTACTTAAGAACCTATATTCTACAAAAATATTCATAGCAGTACATAAAATATTTTTTTTTCTGTAATTAATTCTAGAAAGTATTGGTAATTCAGACAAAAAATAAACTTCCTCAAAGAAGAATTCATGAAATAGTACAAATTTAGTCGTATTTTTGTAAATGTAGTAAGTAAGTACTAGTAAGTATTTTTGGATTTAATAATTCTTATGTCGCAGAATTGCATTTCTTAAAATTATGGGGATTTATTTTAGATAATGTTTTGCTTGAGTTAATCAGAATTTGTGTTTAACTTGATTGTGTTGAAATTGATTCACGAATTGCCTCTGCGATGACAACATGACATCTCTCTAAAAACGGAAACGCTCACGTTTAAAATACCAGGTTAAAAAAATTGCGACACCGCGGTTTGGATTTATCTTAAAAATAAAACGTTTTGAATGAGATGTCACGTTGTCTACGCAAAGACGCCTCTTTAATAAACATACTCCTCCTTATTAATAAACGAGAAGTAAGCTGCAATTAGTTACACCGTGTTTTGTTCATATCACTCAAATGTCATTTGTCATTCAAAAGACAGAGACAAAGCATGGATTAACTAATTCATTCTTACCCTTAGTTTATTAATAAGGAGGATTATGTTTATTCACAACATTAAGTAATAGATGGCGTTGATATATAAATTGCAAACAATAATTATGGTGAAAAACAGAATCTAGGAATCGTAGACACAAATTGTACACGCACATAGTATTTGTAGTTTTTACTATAAAATACCATGAATTTCAGTATATGTACCTGTTCAATATTTTTGGGTTTATATTGTATAAAAAACGTGCGGGTCTACTAGACAACAGTTTAAATTACTGAAGATCAGTAACATAAGATTTTTCACTGAAATTCTAAAAGAATTGTAGTTTTTATTTCATACGGTTTGTTCTTTTAGAATTCTTATTTTATTTTTAGGTATAATTTATTTATAAAAATATTAGTTTATTGGTGTTAGCAATCTGCATAAACAAAACGATTGCAACTTTTTTTTTCATTTCTATGCATATTATGTGTGGTTTTCAGAGCGAAAATTATGTTTCTATTATTTAATTTGGAATAATTAAATAAGTTATACTTAGGCAGTTAAGTGAGGCAATATTTATTTACGGTTGTACTGTGTTAACGAGTTGATATGCATAGCTTTATCTTACGTTTTATATTGTAGTGTTTATTTAGCATTTTAGTGAGATGGATTTTTATGACAATTGTATTGTGTGGAAATGGCAGTACTGATTCTATAGATTATATTGATTGGCAGCAATTTTGAATGATGCAGTCATCAAAATCGCTATTTTGTTAAACCCGATAAACCGATTTTCATATGGAGATAAAGTGAATAACGAATTCATTGGCTACTTTTCGTTATCATCAATATGACATTTTATCATGCCAATAAAGGCTAAATTACCAAAACTTTAGCGATACGTTCAGTGCCAACGAATTAGAAATGATATAGAATACGAACTGCGCTTAAAAGTGGTTTCACGCAAACTGTGATCAAGAGGGCCGGGCGGGGCGAAAAAATGCGTTCATAACGCGGTTCATGGGATTGGTCGGAATTTCCGTTTAACATTATCGTACCCAATATTGCAGATATTTGATTTGAAAGTAACTTGTATTGTTTTGATTTTAATTTAAGAATCGATAGCCTAATTCATTTGCAGATATTTGATTTGCAAAGTGATTTGTCAAAGCCATACTGATAATTGGAATTTAATTACAATTATCAGTATGATTTTATCAAGTAAACAAGTTTTGTATTTGAAGTATTAGTAGTAGAATTTGCCCTCTTGTCACACGTTAAACAATTTAGTATTTATAGTAGAATTTGTCCTTTTGTGACATGTAAAACAATTTAGTATTTTCTACCATTACAGTAGAATCAGTACTGTTAAACGGGGTTTTGTAAATGTATGCTTTTTACCTTTAGACTTTTTTGGAACTTTATGTTTAATTTATAAAATGTTCTTTCTGCCTACTAAGTACGTGAATGGTGTGTTTATAGTTTCTAGAAAAAAGGAGTTGATTAAAAATTGATTGGATTTCGCCACTTGTACGGTATATTATTATGTTCAAAGAGTATTTTACTTTCTGACTAACACTAAGTTTTGTAATGTAAATAGTGTATACAGTATGGAGGAAATAAAGGATTTTATAAAATATTGTATGGTTGTTATTTATTCTTTAGATATTTATGCCGTTGGGTGACTTTTAATGGTTACCACGTAAGTGACAGTTCAGAGAGGGCGCCACGCGCCACTGTCTACGTAAATGACCGTTATTGTCATACAAAATATGACGTTTACAAAGAAGGCAGTAGTTCCAATTTTCGTCACATTCATAAAGATTCTTTTCGCATTATTAGATTGGATTATTGGTAGCTCCATCTATTGAAAAGAACCGAAATACCAAGGAAAACACGTTACGTACTATTTGAACTGGATATTCTTCAAATTTAAACCGTAGGACACTTTGACTAATTTGGAATAACTGGTCTAATTTGTGGCCGAAAGCATATTTCCAATGCATGCCAAATTTATGTAACAAGATTACAAAAGTTGGTTTGTGCATAATAAAACATTTTATACGGCACTGTTTTTGGGGTTGTGTGGTTGAAAAAATAGATGGCGTTGGCAATAAAAAGAATAAAGTAGAAAAATAAATTATATTTTATTTAACGAATATTTATAAACAATAATTATTGACATTGCATAGAAAAATGAAATAGTTTATAACATTACATCAATAAATAGTACAACATTTTACAAGTAAATCACAGGTTATTTTGAGATTTCTAAACTTGGTAAAGATACATGAGCCACTAGATAGAATCAAAGAAATTGTTGCCATTGAAGAATAATTACAATCACTGGTAATGGAAATAAATACAAAAAAACGGTACATACCTAGTTCACGTAATTTTTCATAAAGAATTACATTATTATTACTTAATAAACGAAGATTATAAATTTTACTTGTAATTTGATGAATAGAGCAAAACACTAGCAAGAAGTCCAACCTTTTTTGTTGGTAATAACAAGTGTGTCCAAAATTCAAAATGCGAAAATCTATGATGTAGGAATATAATACCCAATATTACTCTTTGATGGCATTTTTATAAAAAATAAAAAGCACCTCTAACCCCTCGTTGTCAAGAAGAAACAAGGTATTATGTCCCTGCATCATAGATTTTCGCATCTGGAATTCTGATCAATGAGATTATTTTTTTAACACTACAGACATTGAAGAAACAATAAAATTAGCTATAAATAAAGATGTTAAATGCTTACTGGAAATTGTTATATTTAGCTATACAATTCTAAGCGATTTTTTTTATGTTAAAAGGGTGGCAAGCAAACAAGCATATGAGCCGCCTGATGGGGAAGCGGCACCACAGAAAATAGTCGGTTGCGATGTCAAATTATCACTCGCGCCGTTGTTGCCTACCCAGGACCCAATCCCCTACCCCGTGGCCCGTGGAGCCCTTGAACCTTACTCACCGAGAGAAACACAACACCACCAAAAAGGTGGAGGTTGTTTTACCAGACGGGCGCTCCAATTCGACAGGGAAATCCGCTATGCCCTACCTCTCTTAAAATTATTATTTAGCGGTGGTACATTTAATTTAAGATTAAAAAGTATTATAATCTAAGAACCTAAGAAGTACTAAAGTATAGGTCACACATACTATGTTTTAAAAAACGATAATTTAAGACGCTGCGTACAACGCACCAACGCACGCCGAAAAGTTTAATTACTTCAAATTTTGATAAAAAACAGTGCTGTCACTTTCTTTGCAAATAACATTACATGACACCATCATCGTCACTGGGTTGTCATCTTTTTCTAGGTGCTTTCGGCCTCTTTCGGCCGCACCCAGTAAAAGATGAAAAAAGTGTTGTAATCTAATTAGCAAGTATTATTCTTATGGTGGCTTCAGAAGCGATAGTTAAAGACACCGCGTGCGCCGTAGTCCTTCAGTCCGTTGATGCGGCTGAAGGTGCCGTCAACGCCGAAATCGCCGTTCTTGCCGATAGGCCAACGACCGCCGCCGGCTGCGGACCACTGAAAATATGAATATAAATGATTACCACGTCACATGTAGGACCCATGTAAAGGAGGTCGATGGTGCATGTGGTTAAGTTCGTAGAAGCCACGCAACTTTCTCTATGGCCGTTCCTAAGATAGGTATCTAAAAAATATTATCTGGAGTATCTCTGTGCTTCGGAAGGCAAGCCGCGAGATTTGTTGCAGTTATTAGCACCTCACCTAGCAATCTGTACTGGGCCCGCGTGGAGGCTCATCTCTCAAGGAATGGGGGATTTCCTTTCAAAGTGAAGGCCTGTGCCCCAACAGTGGAGACACAACCACACGACCTCCGTGCCCGAGTGGTTTGTACGTCGGGTTTCATGGTGTAGCCGACTCGAGAGGTCCCGGGTGTGGAAGCAGATGTTCGTGTGATGAATACGAGCATTTGTACTCCAGTCATGGACATGGATGTTTAATATGTATTTCTATATATATATATACTTATATAATGTACTGTATATGTATTTTATCCGTTACCCTAGCATACCATAATACAAGCCTATTATTATTTATTATTTATAGTTGGATTGGTTGTAGGACCCTAGGGACTAAATGTCTAATTACATCTCGTTTGTTTACAAAGCTAAAGTAAAATATCTGTGCCGCTGCACTGCGCCTGTGCACATCTTGCACCTGGGTAAAACAGCATCTGTGAGAGAAGAGTGAGAACAGCCGCTGTATCGTTAATGTATCATGTTAGCAGTACGTACGGAGGTGGAGCCCCCTATCTGCTTGCTGACATCCAGCGCGGCGTTAGCGTTGTCGTTGCGCCAGTTGAGCGAGCCGCCCAGCGCGCTGGTGCCGCCGGCCGGGCCCAGCGTGCGCGTGCCGTGCGCCTGCGCGTCCAGCCGCCCGCGCGCGTCGTTGAATATGTGGCGCTCTACGCCTGCGCGACCCTGCACGATATGATATGAAAACATTATTAAATTACCTAGGTGATAAACATTATGTTGCTCTTACAGATTGTATTTTTGTCAGACTGGTCTGTGGTGGGTTTAAACGGTTTAATAGCTGATAGGTACGTCGAGGTTAGGTTGTACATTAAATTAAATGGAGATCGATCTTAGGACTAATTTAATTACAGATCAAACTAAGTGAACCTTTTAATTTTCAATAGTTATTATGGAAAATGTTTAAAGTTCTAGACATTCAAACGAATTAATTTGAAATTAAAAAATATTAGAACAATTTTCTAACTATCTAGATAACGATTAGTAAATTCAAATATACTCACAAATAATCCGTCATCGGTTGAACCGAGGGTGCCGAACACACGGCCATTATCAATGTTGCGATCAAAAGTTATGTCCCTACGGAACCGCAGCCCCTGCTCCGGATCCACGTAAGACTCGGGAAGCTCGTCAAAGTTGCTGAAACAGTTTTTTTTTTAATTTTATTTTCTTCGAAGGCAGACTAGCGGACGGGCACTGATGTTTAGTGGTCACCGTCGCCCAAAGACATCGGCGATGCCAGTGACACAGCCATGCCGCTGCATTTTGTGAAACACTCTATATAAGTCTCTCTTGAAGAGGACTCTATTATAATATTTAGAGATCACCGTGTATTAAGAGAATACTTATAATTGTCTACTCAATTATTTAAATAAGGTATTTAAATTTATGTCACCTCACCCCCCGTTTACACCAAGGTATAATACATCATTCAATGTCTTAATTTTTTGTTCACACTTATATCCTTACATGTATAAAACATGAAGTAAACAATACTTGTTTTAAACGAGTTTTCTATGCAGTGTAAATGAAATAATGTTATATGCAGCCACAAAAAGTATTCTACAAGTTTTGTTTAAAACTTGTTGGATAAACTAAATATGTTAAGGAAATAAGTGATTTATACTTGTCAGATACTAGTTTTCTATGCAGTGTAAATGAAATAATGTTTTATGCAGCCACAAAAAGTATTCTACAAGTTTTGTTTAAAACTAGTTTAGGACTTGTTTCTTGGAGGAAACTAGGGGCAAGAAACCGACAGCCGTCTTTAAGTTTTCAGCGTAACATTTTTGTAAATATTTGCCTACTCATATTTTATAAGCAAATAATAAAATAAAACTTACTTGTAGATAATATCGTATGGGTGCTCATACTGCTGAGCCATAGCGACGACCAGAACGGCAGAGAAAGCAACGAGGAACTTCATTATCGGAATCTGTAAAAAGGCGATAATTATGAATAATAATGTATAATTATGAAAAACCTTATGAAAAAAATAAACAGCTACTAATAACAAAAAAGATCTGGAACAAAAAGAGAATAACTTAGAAAAGAAGAAACAAATTGAGAAATACTAATAGAGAGAGATAGGTATTTTAAGTGTTTCATAATTTAAAAGAAAACAAATATAATATGATGATTTAAAACCGTCTTATTTAAAAGTATTGAAAATATAATATGCAGGTTCTTCATATATCAAGGTAATATCAAGAAAACTCACACGATTTCTTTTCTCCTAGGACAATGTTCACCCAGCAATGAGAGTAGATTTGAATGTGAAGATTTCTGTCCTCAGACACCTTTTATATCAGAGTTAGATACAGCTCAGGGATTCCCGACTCCCTGGTACTCAGATCTTCCCCTCACCGCGTTTATCGAGTATCGTTTAATTAATGAAACGTGGAGATAAAGAGTGTTTTCATCGGTGTTACAGTATAAATAACGGTTATAATTGCGTAATGAATCATGTTTGTTTATAAACGAAACTGCGAACCGTATTATGATACATCATAATTGAGTCTATTTAAATTTACGAGAATTTAGTTTTAATTAGGTTAATACCCACTTGGAATCAACATCATAATCAGCCGATATATGTTCGCTGGTAGACATCCTCTAAGTCTAAGGGTTTTCAAACACAATGGTTGTCCGCTTTCTGCATCCAGTAGGTTCCCTCCCCCCGTCTCGCTTGATGTCGTTAGTCCACCTAGTAAGGGGTCTACCGACACTGAGTTTCCCAGTGGAATATAATAATAACCAATGATGTTTTATAGTTATACATACGTCATACATGCATGCATCTAATTCGGCAATACAGGTAATTGCCCGACTTGCATTCAGTCAGGCACGCTCTCTCGCTGCTCCTTCACTTCGCTACAACGTGTCAATATTTTATGTTTTTCCAGACAAAAAGCCCTATGTGTGTTTTTTGATGGTATATAAATTACACGGGACCTATTGTAGACAAGAAAAATATGTCATTTCATTCGTAAGTGCAGTTTTAAAGAAATTAATGTAAAAAAAATAAGTGATTACTTATTTTAGGCTAAAGAGGGAGATGTAAAAGAGACTACTTTAGTCCGCTCTATTGGAGGCTGTTGCCAAGAGAAGTTGGGGCGGGGACTACTTATATCATTTTAAAATGCAATAATGTTGGCATATATATATATTTTAATTATAACATACTAGTATGCACGCGACTTGGTATGCAAAACTTGTTTCTCATACAAATTTTCAAACCCTTTCTCACACCTTTCAAGTAGCATTTTTGGGATAAAAACTTCCTATGTTCTTCTCCGGAGCTCAAACTATGCCAAAGATCTAAATCGGTTCAGCGATTAAAGCGTGAAGAGGTAACGGGGAGACAGACAGATACACTTGCGCATTTTTTATAATATTAGTATGGCTTAGGGCTAGCGCATACATACAACTTTTGCATCGACTAAACTGTTTTATAGCGTTTTGTAGTTCTCGTGATTTTCACACAAAAATATCCTAGATACAACATCATGAACAAAATTGTCGCCGAAATCTGTCCAAAAGGTACATCTGACGATCAACGGTGCTATATAAGATGATCGCATTGTCAAAAACAATATAAGGCATTATTTAAACATTAAAAGTCACCTTTAATGCATACGGTATAAGGTCTTAATTAAAAGGCATGCGTCAAAGAGTTAGACAGTTCGAAATGCAATATGACTTATTGCTATTTGCGGAAGAATATAGACCTTATATCTTTGATTCTACGCGCAATTCTGAATGCGCTGTTAGCATTATAGCAGGTACGGACCGCGAGGAAAGGAGACGGCTATACGGTGACGGATAAACCGACATGCATTTGAATATCACAAATATTTTATATTACATCAGTTAATAGTAAGTATAAGAACAAAATTTGCTTCAAATGCGTTAAATTAACAAACATTGATTAGATACCTGTCGGAAAAACGTCACTTTACGTACTATAAGTATTCATTTCGCTTTTTTTTACGGAACTCTGCGTCATCTTGACTTTTCAATGGTCCGCGTGTGACTGACGTTAATAAATAAAATCATACAACAACATACTGATGGCCGCCCGCGACTTCGTCCGCGTTTAATTTAGTTTTTTGGTTATCCTATGTCCCATTCCAGCCCCTCTAGCATGATCACCAAAACGGGATATGATAAAGCGATATATCGACATTAACTGTCAGACTACTGTCAAACTACATAGTAGTCTGACAGTTAATGTCGATATATCGCTTTATCATATCCCTTTTCGGTGGTCATGCTAGAGGGGCAGGTCATTAACTATATGTGTACCTTTTATGCGAATCCGTCCGTAATAGTTCCTGCAAAGCCCGCCATGTTTACAAGAGACGAGAAGCCGCTTCAAATGCTTATGCAAGACTGACAGTCGCGGATCGACTGATTAGTCGATGGTATGTGCACATCAATACAATTTAGCGTTTCATCGATAGTTGTCCAACTTTTTAATCAAAAGCAGATCGATACAGCTTTTTGACTTTTTTGTTCAACTATCGAGTTGATACTATGTGCGCTTCAATATATTGCTATATACATACGATACACAACAAAATAGTTGTTTAACTAAAAGTTGTATATATGCGCTAGCCCTTATGCTGAAAAATGTCAAATGATAAAGGTTTGCACTATAAAATTAATAAATACATTTTTTTTTTCAAATTTTCATTCTACCATTTGGTCGTCATTATTGATATACATATCTCCACAAAATTACAGCTTCCTAGTGCTAACAGACTCCAAGCAAAACCGGGGATGCACAGACAGACGGACATGACGAAACTATAAGGGTTTCTTATCAGGACTACGGAACCATAAAAATAGCTTAAAAAGTACACTATGAATCGGCGTTTTCAGTGTTTGTTGTTTGCAGCATATGACAAAAATGCTTACGTTTAAAATAACGCGTTACTTAAAATAAAAAAAAAACTTTTGTATGAGATGTTACGTTGTCTTCGCAAAGAGGCGGTATGTTTATTCGCAATATTAACTAATAGATGGCGTTGATATATAAATTGCAAACAAATCTTATGATGCAAATCAGAATCTAGGAATCGTAGACATCAATCTATCTGACTGATCTATAGATCGCACACGCTTTGTAATAAAAATTACAAAATACTAAGTATTCTTGGTATTTGTAATTTTTACTACAAAATATCAAGAAATTCAGTATAAGTACTTGTTTAATATTTTAGGCTTTCTATTGTTTAAAAAACGTGCGGGTCTACTATTAATTAGATTTTTCGATTTTCTAAAAGAATTATAGATTTTCTTTCACACGGTTTGTTGTTTTAGAAGTATTGTTTTATTTTTAGGTATAATTTATTATAAAAATGATAGTGTTTTGGTGTTAGCAATCTGTATAAACAAAACGATTGCGTTTTTTTTAGATTTCTATGCATATTATGTGTGGTTTTCAGAGCGAAAATTATGTTCTTTTATTTAATTTGGAATAATTAAATAAGTTATACTTAGGCAGTTAAGTGAGGCAATATTTACTTACGGTTGTATTGTGTTAAGGAGTTTATATGCATAGCTGCATAGCTTTATCTTACGTTTTATACTGTAGTGTTTATTTATTGCATTTTAGTGAGATGGATTTTTCTGACAATTGTATTGTGTGGAAATGGCAGTACTGATTCTATAGATTATATTGATTGGCAGCAATTCTGACTGATACAGCCATCAAAATCGTTATCTCTTCCAACCCGATAAACCGATTTTCATATGGAGATAAAATGAATAACGAATTCATTGGCTACTTTTCGTTATCATCAATATGACCTTTTATCATGCCAATAAAAGCTAAATTACCGAAACTTTAGCGATACGTTCAGTGCCAACGAATTAGAAATGATATGGAATACGAACTGCGCATAAAAGTGGTTCCACGCAAATTGCGATCAAGAGGGCCGGGCGGGTCGAAAAAATGCGATCATAACGCTGTTCATGGGATTGGTCGGAATTTCCGTTTAACATTATCGTACCCAATATTGCAGATATTTGATTTGCAAAGTTATTTGTCAAAGCCATTCTGATAATTGGAATTTAATTACAATTATCAGTATGGTTTTATCAAGTAAACAAAGGAGATTGCTCAAATTGACCCAAATGCACAAAACATATTGACATATACGGTAATTCTTGGAGTAAATTTATACTTTATTTTACAGTCATTAGATTTTAACGGACACCTTTGTATAATATATTCATTTTAAAAAGGACTTTTAACTTTACCGGTTTGGAAAACATACGAATCATTTTTAATGGCTATGGGTGTAGTATGATTCAGCCAAAGACTGATCGAAGTTGTTTATACTTATAACATAAAATCAAATCTATTTTGTAAAGATCGAGATCGAAAATAAATCATTTTTTTATATAATATTTTACGACTATATTATTATTTTCACTAAATGCAAATGTACACACTAACAATTATCACACAGTTTCTGTCACAGAGTACCTTATTATAACCGGAAATGCATAGATGATACCTAATTTTAAAAGTTACTCTTGTGCATTAACTTTAAAAACAGGCAAGTATCTGTTAATGTACTTACTGTATATACCTGAATCTAATACATAATTTCGGTACTTGGCTTGATTTCCCTTGTAACTTATTTGTTTTTTAATATTTTAATACCTATGTACCTATTGGCAAACATAACATTTATATATAATTTCGAATCTAGGAAACAATTTTTCATGATTATTGGTCTTTAGGCCAAACATGTATGGAAGCTGAGCAATCTCCTTTTGTATTTGTAGTATTAGTAGTTGAATTTGTCCTCTTGTCACACGTGAAACAATTTAGTATTTAAAGTAGAATTTGTCCTTTTGTCACATGTAAAACAATTTAGTATTTTCTACCATTACTAGGGACACGAAAAAAGTATCGATACTTTGTGGTATCGAGTACTTTTCCTTTCGATACCGATACTTTTGTACTCGATACTTTGTATTCGATACTTTTACTAAATGAGTACTTTTTGGCAAGTATCGATACCTTTAAAATTTTGGATAAGCGTCTCATATTGATCGCAATGCCATCTTGTTAAATCATAGCAAACCTTCTGAAACGTTCCATAGGGTATTTGACAAGTTTTAGGCAACGATCTCACGTTATTGACTAATGTGTATGGAGTCCGTAAAAAGTGGATATTCATCATTCTGTTGTGTATTTCAGTAAAAATAACCAAATCAAAAACTCCATTTTCAAGTTGCCGCAAAAATGTTACTCTGGACAATATGGCGTTTTACTAGTGTGTGACGTCACACGACTGTTATTAAAACGTCAAACGATACAATGTAATGTCACTTTGACCGAAAGTTTACTTGCGTGTGACGTCATTTTAGGCTCCGCCAATCCCAAGCGTTTTGGGTTACGTGACAATAGATAAGAAAACATATCTTTTTCGTTATTTTGGCACTTTATTTTTAATACTGTCAAATGCCCTATTGCGTTGTTATAAAGTCAGTAACTGACATATTCAAATTCTTTCCAATCTGTGACTGTGTTTATTTTGCGCTTTGTATTGTTTCATAGTTATTTATTTAGCGACTATATTGTTAGGAACTGTGATTGATTCGCCGTTTATTGTGCTTTTCGCTTGACTGTATTTGATTTATTCAAGTGTAACACTATTATTCTGTCTGTGCTGTGTATACCTATTTGAAACCACCTGAAAAAAAGACGGACGTAACCTCTTCTATAATTATAATCTTGAGTGAAGCATGCCAATGGCAGCCGTTAACTACGTGCCAGATTCAAGTTAACATAAGTGGGTATAATTTTTTTTAATGATTAAAATTCAAGAAAAGTAAATTTAATTTGAAACAAATCTGAAAAGTTTCATACTTTTAAATTGTTTAAAATTTCGATCTTTTTAATGAACATTTTAATTATGAATGTAATATTAATTAACACTTCTTTAGTGTCAGAAATCACAGCTATTTTCTTTTCATTATATAATATAGCAATTTGTGAATTTACATGTCCTTTTTTTGTTTTTGATTATACTTATTATAATAAAATTCGATTGTTTTTCTTTCAATTTTAACACCGGGGGGGGGGGGGGGGGGGTTGATCATCAGGCTACAGAGGGTCCGATAAGGCCCTATGAAATGTACTCGATACTTTGAAGTATCGATACTTTTGTTTCGATACTTTTACGAGTACGATACTTTTTTAACGGTACTACTCATGAGTACAGTATCGATACTTTCTATTCGATATCGTGTCCCTAACCATTACAGTAGAATCAGTACTGTTAAACGGGGTTTTGTAAATGTATGCTTTTTACCTTTAGACTTTTTTGGAACTTTATGTTTAATTTATAAAATGTTCTTTCTGCCTACTAAGTACGTGAATGGTGTGTTTATAGTTTCTAGAAAAAAGGAGTTGATTTAAAATTGCTTGGATTTAGCCACTTGTACGGTATATTATTATGTTCAAAGAGTATTTTACTTTCTGACTAACACTAAGTTTTGTAATGTAAATAGTGTATGCAGTATGGAGGAAATAAAGGATTTTATAAAATATTGTATTGTTGTTATTTATTCTTTAGACATTTATGCCTTTAGGTGATTATGCCTTTTAATGGCTATCAAAATTTACACAGTTCAGAGAGTGCGCCACTGTCTATGTAAATGACCGATAATGTCATACAAAATATGATGTTTACAAAGACGGCGTTGTTAGTTCCAATTTTCGTCATATTCATAAAGATTCTTTTCGCATTATTAGATTGGATTATTGGTAGCTCCATCTATTGAAAAGAACCGAAATACTAAGGAAAACACGTTACGTACTATTTGAACTGGGTATTTTTCAAATTTAAAACAGTAGGACACTGACTGATTTTGAATAACTTGTCTAATTTGTGGTCGAAAGCATATTTCCAATGCATGCGCAATTTGTGTAATAAGATTACAAAAGTTGGTTTGTGCATAATAAAACATTTTATACGGCACTGTTTTTGGTGTTGTGTGGTTGAAAAAATAGATGGCGTTGGCAATAAAAAGAATAAAGTAGAAAAATAAATTATATTTTACTTAACGAATATTTACAAACAATAAGTATTGACATTGAATAGAAAAATGAAATAGTTTATAACATTACATCAATAAATAGTACAACATTTTACAAGTAAATCACAGGTTATTTTGGGATTTCTAAACTTGGTAAAAATACATGAGCCACTAGATAGAATAAAAGAATTTGTTGCCATTGAAGAATAATTACAATCTCTGGTAATGGAAATAAATACAAAAAAACGGTACAAACCTAGTTCACGTAACTTTTCATAAAGCATTACATTATGATTACTTAGTAAACGAAGATTATAAATTTTACTTGTAATTTGATGAATAGAGCAAAACACTAGCAAGAAGTCCAACCTTTTTTGTTGGTAATAACAAGTGTGTCCAAAATTCGAAATGCGAAAATCTATGATGTAGGAATATAATACCCAATATTACTCTTTGATGGCATTTTTATAAAAAATAAAAAGCACCTCTAACCCCTCGTTTTCAAGAAGAAACAAGGTATTATGTCCCTGCATCATAGATTTTCGCATCTGGAATTCTGATCAATGAGATTATTTTTTTAACACTACAGACATTGAAGAAACAATAAAATTAGCTATAAATAAAGATGTTAAATGCTTACTGGAAATTGTTATATTTAGCTATACAATTCTAAGCGATTTTTTTTATGTTAAAAGGGTGGCAAGCAAACAAGCATATGAGCCGCCTGATGGGGAAGCTGCACCACAGACAATAGTCGGTTGCGATGTCAAATTATCAAACGCGCCGTTGTTGCCTACCCTGGACCCAATCCCCTACCCCGTGGAGCCCTGGAACCTTACTCACCGACAGAAACACAACACCACCAAAAAGGTAGTGTTTTTTTACTGTGGTCTTCTGTAAGGTGGAGGTTGTTTTACCAGACGGGCGCGGCGCTCCAATGCGACCGGGAAATCCGCTATGCCCTACCTCTCTTAAAATTATTATTTACCGGTGGAACATTTAATTTAAGCCTATAAAGTATTAAAATCTAAGAACCTAAGCAGTACTAAGGTAGGTCACACATACTCTGTGTTAAAAAACGATAATTTAAGTTAAGACGCTGCGTGCAACGCACCGACGCACGTTGAAATGTTTAATTACTTATAATTTTGACTAAAATCAGTGCTGTATCTTTGTTTTTGCAAATAACATTACAATACATCATCATCTTCACTGGGTTGTCATCTACTTCTGGGTGCGGCCGAAAGTGGCCGAAAGCACCCAGAAAAAGATGAAAAAAGTGTTGTAATCTAAGTAGCAAGTATTATTCTTATGGTGGCTTCAGAAGCGATAGTTAAAGACACCGCGTGCGCCGTAGTCCTTTAGTCCGTTGATGCGGCTGAAGGTGCCGTCAACGCCGAAATCGCCGTTCTTGCCGATAGGCCAACGCCCGCCTCCGGCCGCGGACCACTGAAAATATGAAGATAAATTATTACCATGTTACATGTAGAACCCATGTTAAGGAGGTCGATGGTGCATGTGGTTGCGTTCGTTGAAGTCACGCAACTTTCTCAATGGCCACACATAGGACAGGTAACTATTTTTTTTTTATCTGGGGTATCTCTGTGCTTTGGAAGGCAAGTTGTTAGCACCGCACCTAGCAATCTGTACTGGGCTCGCCCGGAGGCTCAACTCTCAAGTTATGGGGAATTCCTTTCATAATGAAGGCCTGTGCCCCAACAGTGGAGACATTTGTAGGTGGATTGGCTGAAGGACCCCAGGGATTCAATGTCTAAAACATCTTGTTCCTTTTCAAAACTAAAGTAAAATATCTGTGCCGCTGCACTGCGCCTGTGCACATCTTGCACCTGGGTAAAACGGCATCTGTGAGAGAAGAGTGAGAACAGCCGCTGTATCGTTAATGTATCATGTTAGCAGTACGTACGGAGGTGGAGCCCCCTATCTGCTTGCTGACATCCAGCGCGGCGTTAGCGTTGTCGTTGCGCCAGTTGAGCGAGCCGCCCAGCGCGCTGGTGCCGCCGGCCGGGCCCAGCGTGCGCGTGCCGTGCGCCTGCGCGTCCAGCCGCCCGCGCGCGTCGTTGAATATGTGGCGCTCTACGCCTGCGCGACCCTGCACGATATGATATGATATGAGAACCATAGTAGCTCACGGGTATTTGATAATTTAAGGCTCGACCCACTTGCACCAAAGTTCATAAATCAAATTTAAAAAAAAACTACATATTTTACTTTTAACCATTGACAATGATGGAATTATGTGTTAAATAACGACAACCACTCAACTGGCGGGTTAACTCAAATGTAACCTCTAACTTTTCTGTTCAAGTTTTTATAAAAAAAGTATGGGTAGGTTTGATTTTATCCAATTAAAGAATGTTGAAAACATTATAAAATTACTTAGGTGATAAACATAATGTTGCTCTTACAGATTGTATCTTTATCAGAGTTGTCTGTGGTGGGTTTAAACGGGTTAATAGCTGATAGATAAGTCGAGGTTAGGTTGTACATTAAAATTAAATGGAGATCATTTCTGCATCGATCTTAGCACTAATTTAATTACAGATCAAACTTAGTGAACCTTTTAACTTTCAAAAGTAGTTATGACAAACGTTTAAAGTTTCGGACATACAAACGAATTACTTACATATTTTGAAATTATTAAATATTAAAACAATCTAAATTACGATTAGTAAATTTAAATATACTCACAAATAATCCGTCATCGGTTGATCCGAGGGTGCCGAACACACGGCCGTTATCAATGTTGCGATCAAAAGTTATGTCCCTACGGAACCGCAGCCCCTGCTCTGAATCCACGTAAGACTCGGGAAGCTCGTCAAAGTTGCTGAAATAGATTTTTTAAAATTTTATTCTCTTCGAAGGCAGACGAGCGATCGGGCCACTTGGTGTTAAATGGTCACCGTCGTCCAAAGACATCAGCGATCCCAGTGACACAGCCATGCCGCTGTCTTTCGTGAAACACTCTATTTAAGTCTCTCTTGAAGAGGACCCTGTTATAGTATTAATACATTTAATTTTTTACTTTTGTTGTGTGCAGAAATCCCTAGAGGAGGCCTATGCCCAGTAGTGGGCGTGCATCGGCTGATGATTATGAGATTTACGCTATGAGCAAAGGTATACGCTATGATCCAATGGGCAAACCATCCAGCTACTACGTATTATTGTAATAACTGATAAACTTTGGCTATTATTATTATTGGTTTAGAAATAAAATGTCTAATTTTCAATTATAAAATCAATTGTTAATGCTGTCAATATTCTTCAAATAATATATGGAAATATTGTAATCAATAGTTTATAGATTTTTTATTGGTAGACTAAAAGAATGCGACTCGCGGACGTCTAATAATTTGATAGATACTCAATAGAAAAGTGACCTTGGCTCCGCTAAGATTCTAAAAGATAATACAAGTAGGTGAATAATTAATCGAGCAAGACTAATCAATCACTTTTTTAAGAACCTGCGCAAGTTTGTTTAAAAACAATAAATCCAAGATAATGTTTAGTTTGACAGAATTTGAAGTTTGAACTAATTCATTTTTATGGGTAATTGTCTAATTTATTATTTAAATTATTTATTTCAATTTCTGTCACCTAACCCCGCGTTTACACCAAGGTATGATACGAGTATTTAACAAATTTCGTACGTCTTAATTTTTTTGTTCACACTTATATACTTACATATATAAAACATGAAGTAAACAATACTTGTTTCAGACTTGTTGGATAAACAAAATATGTGAAATAAATAAATAATTTATACTTGCCAGATACTAGTTCTATGCAGTTTAAACGATGTTTTAAACAGCCACAACAATTATTCTCCAAGTTTTGTTTAAAACTAGTTAAGGACTTGTTTCTTGGTGGAAACTAGTGGTAAGAAAACCGATAGCCGACAATCATTAAGTTTGTAGTGTAACATTTTTGTAAATATTCATGTTTTATAAAAATAAAAAAACTTACTTGTAGATAATATCGTATGGGTGCTCATACTGTTGAGCCATAGCGACGACCAGAACGGCAGAGAAAGCAACGAGGAACTTCATTTTCGGAATCTGTAAAAAGGCGTTATATAACTATGAAAAAAATTGTCAAAAATATTAAACAGCTACTAATAAAAAAAAGAGATTTAGAACAAAAAGAAAATAATTTGCAAAAGAAGAAAAAAATTGTGAAATATTAAAAGAGAGGGATAGGTATTTGTTAGCAAAAGTGTATATTTATTTGCATGTTAAGTCTGATAATTTTAAAGAAAATAAATATAATATGATGATTAGAAAACCATCTTATTTAAAAGTATTGAAAATATAATATGAAGGACTTAGTTTCATGATTTTACATAAGTATAATAATTTATTTGTAGATTTATTTAAATCAAGAAAACTCACATGATTTCTTTTCTCCTAGGACAAGTCACCCAGCAATGAGAGTAGATTTGAATGTGAAGATTTCTGTCCTCAGACACCTTTTATATCAGAGTTAGATAGAACTCAGGGATTCCCGACTGTCTGGTACTCAGATCTTCCCCTTACCCCGTTTATCGTGTATAGCTTAATTAATAAAACGTGGAGATAAAGAGTCGGTGTTACACTATAAATAACGGTTATAATTGCGTAATGAATCATGTTTGTTTATAAACGAAACTGCGAACCGTATAATGATTCATCATAACTGAGTCTATTTACATTTACGAGAATTTGCTTCAATTAGGTTAATGCCCGCTTGGAATCATTATCATAATCAGCCGATGGATATCCACTTGTAGACATAGGGCTCCTCTAGGGGTTTCCAAACACTATGGTTGTTCGCTTTGCATCCAGTAGGTTCCCTCTCCCAGTCTCGCTTGATGTCGTTAGTCCACCTAGTTAAGGGTCTACGGACATTGCGTTTCGCGGTGGAATATAATAATAACCAATGATGTTTTATAGTTATAGATACGTCATAAATGCATGCATCTAATTTGGCCATACAAAAGTCAGGTAATTTCCCGACTTGCATTCAGTCAGGCGCGCTCTCTCGCTGCGACTACACTTCGCTACAACGTGTAAATATTTTATGTTTTTCCAGACAAAAAGCCCTATGTGTGTTTTTAGACAGTACACAAATTACACGGGACCTATTAGAGACAGAGAAAAAACGTGACATTTTATTTGTAAATACAGTTTTTTAAGAAATTTATGTTAAAGTATTTAGTGATTACTTATTTTGACAGTTGTTGACACCGTCGCCACGTGGAGGCTAAATAGGGAGATGTGAAAGAAACTACTTTAGTGCGCTTTATTGGAGGTTGTTGCCAAGGCAAGTTGGGGCGGGGACTACATGTGCCATTTTAAAATGCAATAAGGTTGGCATATAACCTGTCTATATGTTGTACGTCATTGATTATAACATACTAGTATGCACGCGACTTGGTATGCAAAACTGCTGTTTCTTTCAAAACAAATTTTCAAACACCTTCTCACCCCTTTTAAGGATGATTTTTGAGATATAAACTTTCTATGTTCTTCTACGGAGCTCAAACCATGTCAAATTTAATCTGAATCGGTTTATCGGTTAAAGCATGAAGAGGCAACACAGAGACAGATAGATACACTTGCGCATTTTTTATAATATTAGTATGGCTTATGTAGTTTTAGTCTAATATCTAAATGTAAAGTTTTATATTTTAAAAATAATTTAGTGTATTTTTTATTGGTTTTCTTTCTGGCTTATGTTGAAAAATTAATAGGCAGATCCACATTTTCTTCACTCAGGTCCCGAGTAGACGCTTTACACGAACAAAAGTTAGCTTATTAAAGTATTTTTTTTTAATTTTAATTTTACCATTTTGTCGGCATGGTTGATATACATATCTACATAAAATTACAGCTCTCAAGAGCTAACAGACTCCAAGTAAAAACGGGGACATGCATCTGCCTGTAACCACGCACATCAAGGACACATTTTGTAGCGGGCATTGTTGCTCCATGGCATTTAGTAGCGAGACAAAAGCAAAAATGTAGCGTTCATATTGCTGGCAAGGTAAATGTTGCGTGCATGTAAGTACCCTGTGGCTCCGGTATGCGGCCTCCCTTACTAAATATTCGGTTTTGGGCAAGCATTCTACATAAAATACCAAAATTTAAGTCCAACTCATTCGGTTTACGATCTATAGACCCGTGATATACGGACAGACAAACGAGAGAGTGACAGCAATAGGGGTCCGTTTTAACCCTTTGGGTACGGAACCCTTAAAAGATGAATAAGTTCTTACGGATTTTTTGAATGCATTTGTTACTGTTATTTTATTTTCACGTTAAAAGTGTGGTAAACCAGCATCACGAAAGCCACGAAAACACAACTCGTCAGGGCATTAGTGTTTCCCATATTCCTCTATGGTGCTGAGACGTGGACCACGCGAGAGAGTGTGAAAAAGAAGATAGACGCTCTAGAAATGTGGTGCTGGAGGAAAATGCTTGGCATACAGTGGACACAATTCCGAACCAATGCATCCATCCTCCAGGAACTATCTATCAAACAACGTCTTTCTTCCATAGTACAAGGTCGTATTCTAACTTTCTTTGGCCACCTCTCACGCCGAGAAGATGCGTCAGTGGAACGACTGGTGGGGCATAATATCCGCTAAAAAAGCCCTGCGAATATCTTAATGCCAAAACCGCGGGGTCCCCGTTAGGCATTCTTCCGCGACTCCGCACCCAGCAGCTTCCCGGTCTAGCCGGAGCTCCACGGCAGTGGTCTCCCGAGGTATTGCGGGGACCCCGCAGACGTGAGCAGGGTGGCCCTCGCCCCGTCCGCTGCGGAGGGCTTGGGCGTTCCCGTCCAAGCAACCTTCCGCCGCCCCCCTTTGAAGGACAAAACTACAAGAGGGGGGTCGCCGTTTCTGGGAGGGGGGAACGGGAGGGGAAGCGTAGTTCTTCCCGTCTCTCTCCCCTCTCCCGGTCGCCCACGTCTCCTAGCGTCTTCTCCTAGGAGAAGAGGGGGGACTGTTGTCTACCCTGACCCAATCCCTTACCCCGAGGAGCTCTGGAACCTTACTCGCCGACAGAAACACAACCAAGAGGTAGTGGTTTTTTACTGTAGTCTTTTGTAAGGTGGAGTTTAATTATTTCCCCAGACTGGCGGTTTAATTCGAGCGCAAAATTTGCTACGCCCTACCTCTATTCCTATAATAAGAACTGAAAACAATTCGAAGGTCGTTTTGCATAACATAAGCGTCTTATCACTGAACCAATGTAGACATTGTAAGCGCCGTTAATTTCAAAGGGGAATCACTTTATACGCGAGATGATTTTTATTAATAACTGGCGCGTGTCATTTGATATATATATTCCCCTTATAAAGATATCGTGTGAGTATATTTAAGCATCCCGAAGAAGGAAAATGATGGCAGTCAATTTTTAGACATTGTTACGAGATATATAATTAACACGCGTCATTCATTATCTTACTTGCGTGTTCATATTTTTTAAGTGAATTATTATTACAAATAATTCTGTTATCTTTAGTGATTAGGTATCGTTGGAGTTTATGTAATGGTTTTAAACCACTTGTGCCATTCATCACATGTTTTATTATTTATTAAATAAAAGATATTATTTTTTTAGGATTCCAATTTAAGCGAAGCTATAATGAAGATGCTCATGCTGATCTGTATTTTCTTGGTCGCTGTAACCTTGGCTCAAATGGACCAATTTATAAGCCCTCATGTTATATTGTTCAGGTGAATAGATTAAAACTTCTTAATATGTTTGCAAGACTATGTAGAGGAGCTCGATGGCTCGCGCTGACCAGTTTTGGTTAGCTCAGTGTTTGTTCATTGGATGGGTGACCAAAAAATTTCCAATCGCGAGCTTCTCCGTGGTTCAGAAGGTACGTTAAGCCGTTGGACTCGACTGCATCGGCACTGGTTAGCTCCCACCAATCCGCACTAGGCCCTCGTGTTGAGCCATGGTTCAATCTCTCTATTCCATCTATAGCGAAGCCCTGTGGCCCAGCAGTGAGGACATTAACAGGCTGATGATGATGATGAATGTAAAGTAAGCTCTATGTACCTATCTTGAAATTGAATTTTCAGAGACGATCCGCACAGATTAAGTCTTCCCATGGAAATGAATGTGAACTCAAAAACAGGAGCAGTAACTTTCATGAACAGAGAATTAAGGACCGACGGAAGACGCTTGTTCGAGTTTCCTGTGCATAACTACAAAGTGAGTGTTCTCCTTAGAATATGATCGGTTTTAAATTAAGCTATTTTGAGTGTTTTTTTATGCGAGGCGCAACAAATTACCCCAGTTCGCCGGATGTTAAGTGTAAGTGGAATCTAGTCACCCAGAAGGTGTGCCGCTCCAGCCATCCTCACCTAGCCGGCCTGAACGCAATTCCCACGGAGCTCTACTCACCAGCAGAAACACAACATCACCGAAAGGTGCGATTGATGTGATTTTACTGTGTATTTTCTGTAAGGTGGAAGTTGCTTCCCCAGATGAGCGCTCTAATTCGATTAGTAAGAAAATCCGCTATACGCTACCTACTTCTCTACGATGAAAAGTCTAATGTTCTGGGGTAACTTTTGACCCCCGATACCAGTTAAGAGTTAAGAGTTTTGTTTATATTTTCAGGGATGTACGGGTGGACGCCGATGCGCAGGAGTTTCAAATGCTTGATGAGAATTTTGTTAGTCTGGTCTAAACCAGTCGGCGTGACGTCGCTACAGATATTTTATAAGCTGATGTGGATGAGTTTGAACTTAGCCCCGATAAAAATATGGGCCACTTTCGTCCAACTGACTTCGCTATTAGCTGTGAAACAGTCTTGCACTAAAATGAAGAAATCATGACCTTTTGTTTTGGAAATTAATGGTGGAGTGAAGTCTTTGTATATCAGTTGTCGTTTGTTGGCTAAGTATGACACACCTGAAAATACTTTTGGTTCTCGTTCCGAATCTAAAAACCTAACAAAGTAAATTTCTTTATAAGAATAATACTTACTTCTGTTTAGAAAAAAAAAAATTATTTATACAACTATACCAATACAATTGGGTTTCCTACTTTTTTAATTACAAGTACTGTATAGAATAGAATAAAAGCCAATTTACCAAAGTGTTTTGCGTACTACATGATTTTGTATCAATAAAGTAATCTTAAAACACTATGTATTTTGTTTACAAATAATTAAAATGTTTCAATTTCCGCTCACATTAAATATTCTTTAGCGCAAGTCATAAATATACGTAGGGTCAGATTTATATTAACAACTAGAAATTTATTGTGTGAAAACAATTTAGTAACATTACCGTTTTCCCTAGTATAATTTCCTGCTAAGCCAGGGCAACATCCTGTTGCATGAAACTAAAATGAAATAATAAAGGGGCTTTCTCTAATCCTGTAAGTACAAAGGAATCCATA